GGCTCACAGAAGGGATTGGCACGTGTGCTTGATATCATGAAAAGGGAGCTCAAAATCTGAAAACTTACGGAGCAGGCGATGCGACGAGCTACGTGACGGGTGGCCGTAGCAAGCATTGTGAAATTTTTTGGAGAGAATGCACGAAAAAGTGCGTCGAAGATCCTGAACGATTTGTGGTAGGAATACGACATCGTGATATGAGACTGAACATAAGCGAGAGAGGAGCACTGCTTCTTTCGTGAGGATCGGGCGACACGAACCACTTCCGTCAGTAATAAGTACTGGTGCAGTCATGTAGTATGAACAGATGAGGGGTAGATTTTCGAGAGACCGATGAACAGCCAATTTGTGTGCATTTGCTGAAGTCCTAGAGGCACCTTATCGCCGGTCTCATTGCACGCATCGAGCTCGAGAAAAGACTCCTCCCCACCCCATCCGCCACTCCTTCGCATGACCTCGGACATCACGTCTCCCTGCCTATCAAACGCCACACGCGTCGCGCCCGTGGCGTGCAGGTACTGGGTACCAAGCAATCAGGTTGCACAGCCAGAGAAAGTGACCGCCGGGGGGGGGGGAAGATCGTATGGTAAAGAGCGAGCCAACGGGTTCGGACCACCCCCACGCCAAATTTCCTCCGGCCGTGGGCAGGGGGGAATTATTTGGATTGCTGGTGTCCTGATGATGGATGCTCGGCTTGGTGGTTGATATGATGCGTAGACGCTTTTTAAGATTGTCTCGTGGGGCAGGATGTTGCTTTGTTTCGGGCACTGGCACTTGGATTATAATGCCCCGGTCGTTTGCCAGTGCAAGTCAGTCAAGGACATCATTAACAGCATGATTTTTTTTGATCGCCTTTATTATCCCGCACTCCTAGACCCTTCATTTACATCTTAACATATAGAAATGGCCCGCCAAAAGAATATCTTCTCTGTGATGGCCATGGTCACTGTCGGCGCGTCCGCGTTTATTCTGCCCCTGAAGCAACCCCTCAACGGCCCAGCCCTATGTGTTCAACGTGCCTCTTCTACCGCCCGCTTTGCGGTTAGTCAAGACGAATTGAAGAAGCAAGTGGGCTACAAATCGGTGGACGACTACGTGCAGAGTGGAATGGTTGTGGGTTTGGGCACTGGCTCCACTGCCGCTTTTGCTGGTAGGTACATAGGGAGGCTGTAGGTATCGAAGTAGAAGAGTATAAATGCCGCTATATTCTCATGCCTCTCTGGGACGTTCTGTCTCCCGCAGTGGAGTGATGGTTCGATAGATCTACGAGGAAAAACCCCGCGTGGCAACATGAAGACCACCTTGTCCTTTGAATGGCGCCCTTTGTCCCTGCCTCGTCGTTTCCCTCCCTCCTTGCTGTCGATCCTACCGCGTCAACTTTCCCACAAGAACCCAACGAAACCCTTCTTTTGATGCTCCTCATTGACCATCTTACTTATCCCCCGCCTATTTTTCCCCTTGTCCCATCCATGTCCAATTCATGTTCGCCAGTGGAGCGATTGGGCATGAAGCTTAAAGCAGGTGAGTTAAAGGACATAGTGGCCATCCCCACCTCCATCCGAACCAAGGAGCAAGCAGAGAGTCTGGGCGTTCCCTTGGTGACGCTCGATTCTCACTCCGTCTTGGACGTGGCGATTGACGGCGCGGATGAGGTAGACCCGGCCCTGAATTTGGTCAAGGGACGTGGAGGGGCCTTATTGCGCGAGAAGATGGTGGAGGTAAGCCCGAGGACAGAAAGATAGGAAGACGAAGAGGGGAAAAGAAGAGATGATAGGGTGGGAGACACGGATACGAAGGAAGGGACATGCTAGACGAGGAAGAGGAAAGTGAAAGACGGCTTCAGGGGCTTGGTAGCGGGGAAGGGGAGGGGGGCAATGGAGGTCAGAGAAGAGGAAGGGAGGAGGACGCGGAGGATAGAAGAGATCCTTGGTCTCTCCGGTCGATACAATATCGCGTATGAAACGACGCCCACCCTCGGGCATCCTTCTGCCTCCTGCCCCCCCACCTTCCGGCCCTCTCTCCCGTCTTCTCCCTGCAGGTGTGCGCCAAGAAGTTCATCGTTATCGTGGATGACAGCAAAATGGTTCCGGGATTGGGCGTGACGGGAGCCATGCCCGTGGAAATCACCCCTTTCTGCCATGAACACACTCAACGCACGATTCTGGAGCTCCCGGGGGTCAAGGGCGCAGCCACAGGGAAGCTGCGCATGGACGGCGACAAGCCCTACGTTACGGACAACGACAACTACATTGTGGATTTGTACTACACGGATCCGATCGCGGACGTGAAAGCGGTGGCGCGGGCCTTGGAGGGAGTGGTGGGGGTGGTGGAGCACGGTTTCTTCTTGGACATGACCACCGCGGTGATTGTGGCTGGCAAAGAGGGAATCGAGGTCATCAACAAGAAGTAAGGAGGGGAAAGGATACTATGGGGGATATGACGAAGGCTTGATTGAGGGCCTGAAGCCCGAAAAAGGGGTGAAAGGGCGAAACTTTGCGAGAAAGGAGAAAGTGATGCATGTAATGACGTGGAACGGCGGCATCTCGCAGGCCACCTCTCTTCTTGCGATCTTGTTCACCGCACACGATGAATGGAAGCAAAACAAAGCGCTAGAAGCGATCATTGGCATCAATATTGGTGTACTCCCAGGCAGTGACGTGCTCAACAGTGGTTGATTTTCTCCTCCTACTTCCTCCTGTCATCGTTTTCTTGCCCTGTTTCGTCTGCGACGTCCTTCCCGGAGGTCATTGCCATTTGTGGGACGCGACGCAATTTCTCCTCCACTTTTTCCTCCGATAGCCCCCCCAATGGCGCTTGCTCCATTGTGACGCTCCAGTCCATGTCCGAGTCCTCCAATCCCGTGTAGGCCTGCAACTGACTCAGTCCCTGGATTGCCATACTCCTGTGGTGCTTAACCTTCTCCGGGTCGCTTTCTTTGGCATTGAGGCGAAACTCTGTGGCGTGAAGTTCCGGTGGCAAAAGAGATCTAAGCATTCTAATCTTTTCTTTTCATGCTCGGGGGGGCATTCCGTGAATCATTCAGTCTTGGCACGAGCATCCCCAGTGGGAAAAGGATGGAAGAGACACCGCGTCTACAAATAAGTTAGTCTTCAACATTTTTATCAAAGTGTCGCCCTTGGTCGAGGAAAAATGGAAAGGATGTATTCGGAACATTACCTTCCCTGATTTCCTTGAGCATGCGATCGCGACCTTTACTAGGAAACACCTTGGCGTTCTTGATAATACGCCGGTAAAGGTGGAGAACCGCAGCACTTGTGGCTGATGCTGGCACAGAAAGATGCGGCATGTTGAGACCGACGCACTTATTCTGTAGTTCTGCGTTATTGATGTGCGAAGCCCGTGGCAGAATGAAAGCTTTGCAGGGGTGGGGAGGTTACCCGAGGTCGAGTGACCAAAGCGAGCACTCTTTATAGTGTGATCCTGCAATTCACCTGGGTGAGATTGGAAGTATTGTGAAACACGAAATACAAAGGAGACACGTCGTTTGAAGTACTCGTCCCTCAAAACTCGCACACTTTGAGAATAACAATCGTTAATCGCGCTACATCTCTGAAAGGATGAACTTGGGTCAAGGAGGAGTCTCGTTTGTATGCAACGTGCCAAGGCGATCTAGAATGCAATTATTTCAGTGCTTACCATTGGTACTCCATCAATCGAGGCCTTGTCTTGAGCTCACACAGAAATACGATCCGTACGACAGGCAAGGGGACATTACTTTGACATTGACGCCAAGCCATATTCCACCCGTCGCCTCTACGGCTAAAGCCTTTGGTGGTCTGGAGGCCACAGGGACCCTATTCCGCAACACGGCATGTTTGAACTGCATGGCTTGTGGCCGGTTGTATATTTGGGTATAGCAGGCGCCATCTTCGCCCTTTTCCTTGTATGTCTTGTGCAATTGTGGTATCGATACTTCCGACAGCGCGGCGTGGGAAGCGAAACTCCGGTCCAGTACACAGAACTCCCGCAGAGACATGGTCATGCACGATTTGATCTGAGCGATGCACGATGTGACGAAGGCCATTTTATCGACGAAGTGGGAGAAGATGAGGAATACGGGGAAGACATCTTTGATGCTCTGTACGGGGACGAGGAGGAGGAGGAATTTCGTGGGGGGGCAAAAAGGAGGCCAGACGATGGACGAAGACTGTTCGGAGGGAGAAGAGATCAAGGCATTTTTTCGTCATTCCCTACCCCGCGTCCACCACGAAGAAATGCAGCAACTACAGTGCCGACGAGAGGCGATTCGGACTGTGCGGACGTGTCAGAGACGAAATCGGTCGCGAAATACACCGAAAAATCCCGTCCAGAACCCGCAAGGGACCACGGAGGACTTTCTCAAGGAGGAGGGAAGGAGAAGCGTGGGGAAGAGGAGCATGACACGTCAGGCAGGATCTCGGAAAGGAATGGGGTGGAAGGGGAAAAGGGGGACCTGGAGGCCGCACTAGTGGAGCAAGAAGGGAGTGTATAGCGATCGGGCAGGTGGTAGGAAAGGGTGAAGTGTGAATATTCAAGTCAGTAGCCGACCGAAAATGCCGCCGCGGAAGATTTGCTGGGTAAGGGAGGGAGCGGCACGGGAGGAGGGTCAAGGAGAAAAGGCTTTTCCGGCAGCCCCGAAAGCAATGTCAGGAAGCCCCTCAAAGCGAGCTGTCCAGGGTGTGTGGGTGCGGGCATGCGCGCTAAATCTGGCGCCCCAGCATTTGTATATTGCTTTCCTGTCGTTCAGCTCACGCATTGGCTGCCTCGTTCACCGAGAACGCGAACTCCCTCGGCGCCCCACCGTCTTCCCCCCCCACCGTGAGCATGCGCGAAGGTCTTGGCGCATCCCTCCACTCCACAGTCGTAAATTTCCTCCTCCTCCTCCTCCTCCTCTTCCGTCTCCTCCCCCTCTCCACCAAACCTCTCCTTTCCCCTCGATGCCCCGCCCTCCCTCCTCATCCACCGCAGCCCCCCCCCTCCCCCCCCTCTTTCCCTCCCCCTTTCCTTCTCCGTCCATCCGCCTCGCGTCGTCCACGCACACGCTCGCCCTCTCAAGCACGCGACAGTGCTGCAACCACTGCTCCACTGCCTCGCCGTACACCCGTCCCTCCTTCACGTCCCCGAACCGCCTCCCAAAGTCGTAGCAGGAATCCACTAGCCTTCCCTCTTTCACAGCCAATACTACCGATTTTCGATACTCCCCCGTGGGCGCTGGCGCCGGCACACGAAGGCTCTCACGCAGCACTTTCGATCCCTGTCCCCCACGACCGTCCCTCGTCCCTCCGTTAGCCCCAAAGGCCGTGCGCAGGAAGCGTGTGCCTGGGTAACGGGCAGCCAGAACCTCCAATTCCAAGTCAAGGGCGGCGCTGATGGGGCTGTACGGATCATAGCAGTGCATGACCAAGGGACAGGATGCCCTCTGCACTATTTTCAAGGCCCGCGCAGGCGCTACGTAAGTGTGTAAGCCCACGCCGAGCGCCTGCAATTCCGCCTGCTCCAACGCCCTCCGCACCATTTCCGCCCGGCGGATTTCCTGAAAACCTCCGTCGTCCCCGTCCTCCAATTCCCGCAACCACTCGTCGTCACTCTCTTCCTCTTCCTCGTCACCATTTTGTTCCCTCTCTGCTTGGCGGAGGAGAGCTTGTTCGTCGCCATCTCCTGATCCGACGGGCATGCCAACTTCCATAGCCCTGCTGCCACCACCTTGTTTTTCTCTGAGGTCGGACAACGCGGGATAATCTACCGTCAGGGAACAACAGCCCGTGCCATGCACATGCTGATGTTGATCATTGGCCTGCTCCGGGCCGAACACGTTCCTTCTGCGCTCCATCGCATGCCTCGTGATGTCGGCTGCCGTCAATTTGGTCATGAGTTTGGTCCGAGCCCGTGTGGCTTCCAACTCTTTTTGGCAGCAAGGGTGGAGGTATTCTTCCTTCACACGCTCTACTACGCTGACTTCCGTGCCATTTTCGTCGTGTTTATTTTCGGAGGCATAGTCACCGGGCAGTTGATGGAATGCATTGGGGTCATGGCCTACGGTCGACGTCATGAAGATGTAACCTGACAGACAAAGCCGCCTTTTCTCAGCCCTGTGGGGATGGAGTATGTGCATTGGTATCATCAGATCATGCGACACACAATAGTTATTGCTCCCCACAAGGAATAATATTTCCTTTTTCTTTTTCCCCCCCGGTCACACGCGTCTGGTGCCCCGCTTCGCTTCATGGCAAGCAACGGAAAGAGAACTTGAAGCCGCCTGCTTCGTTGTGGTGCAAGAAGAAAGTCATTTTTAAATGCATGTAGCAAGCGCTTCCAATGAAAAATGATCAACGACGTGTATGAAAAGTCAGTGGATGATTTCTCCTATTCGTGGATCCCCTTGGTCATTTTTAATGACCATTTTTGCACGCACTTTGCACCTCTCGATCCTCTGGCTGCTCGTTCGTATCCCCGCCACGGTCATCTTCACGATTGCCAGTGTCTTCACGAAACCCTGATAACGACCGCTTATCCTCCACAATGATGTCTGGAGACAATATTGTACCATGTGTCCATCTCAACGCCCGCCTTTCTTGAGCTTGCGTGGCTTTACCATGATACCTCCCCTTTTTGCGTCTCCCTTTTTCTTCATCCGCCCGATATTTCAAGTTCCTTGTTTAACGACATATTTCCAACATCAAGATAACATACCCTGTCCACAGACGCCCGGAATAATACAAAACTTGCTTGACACGACTGTTGAACACCAGCATGAGTAGTCGCAAGGGCGGTGGCGGTCCGGGCGGGAGTGTACCAAAGCGTCTAAGACATACGCACGCGGGCAATACCTCCCCGGCCAAGCTTCCTGATGCCATGCCAGTGCACGGATCATACTCCACTACTACCGTTACGGCGGCAACCACCAAAACTTGTAGCAGGGGTACAGATTCAGATGGCACTCCGGGCAGCACTAACGATAAGGCGTTCCGGCGTGCCCTCCTTGTGCATCGGCTGGCCCTCACTGACGCCATTGAAGTGGCTTGGAAAAAGAGCAATCCACAGATATTTTTGGCCGGACCGCCCGTACACGGCTCCACATATCTCGAATCGTACACTTCCTCTCTGGTAACGTGCACCTCCTTGGCTCTTCGGTGGGGGTTGGAAGAGCCTTTCCTTCGGGACGTGGGCTCCGTCTTGAGGTCCTGCCATCCCGAGATGCGCGCCTTTCTCGACTTCCTGGAAACGCCGTTGCCTCCGTCCTCGCTCGTCACCCGTATGCAAGACGCCTACGTGGACCTTCCACTCGGTGCACGGACGGGCAGTTCTCGTTCAACTCCAAGCGGTGGGAACAAAAGCTGGGAGGGAGGGACGGGTGGCAGCGCGAATAGCAGACTCGCCCTGGCCAAGCAGCGGCTGGCGGCATTATTGAGTGTGGCGGCAGCAGAGGGGATCAAGGCCCCCCCCTCGTCGTCCGGCGCCGCTGCCACGGGGATAACAGGGGTGTCTCCCCCGGACAAGGAGTATGAGACGGGGCAGGATCGGATGACTCCCTTGGCAGAAGACCGACACCTGTCGGCGTACGACGCGACGGTGCGGAGACTCTGCCCGGAGCTTCCTCCGCTGCTTCCCCTGCATGCTGAAGCCGAGGCGCGCTTGGACTTGGCACTGGAGACATTGGCCTCAATATTGGGTTCTCCGACCATGGAGCTCGGACAGGCACGCCACACGTCCTTTCTTTCCACTTTGGCCGACGCCTTGGTCCGCCAGGCCTTTTCTGTCTACGCCTGGCACCTGACACAGAACCGAATCGTCTTGCTCTCCCATTTCCAATGCTCCGTCCCGCGCTTGGCACCCTTGCTCTTTTCCCCCCAACCCCAACCGCCCAGCCCATACCTGCTGCTCCTGGTCGTGGGTGCACTCGCGATAGCTTCCAGGCCCGCGTCTCTTCCCCTTCCTTCCCGCTCGACCCCGGAGGAGAAGGAGGAAAGGAAGGCCCGGGAGATTTCCGTGTCGTTCGCTTCCTATCTGGCTGCCCTGTCCCCATCCGTGTTGGAGAGTGTGGTCTCTTGTGGATTGGGAGGGCAGGACAACGGGCCTGGGAGACGAGGGCAAAGGGGAGGAAGGGCATCACCGGGGAAGGAGACGGACAAAGACTGTCGTCGCTGGGGAGAAGCATTCTTGTATGGTGAAGCAGACGAAAAGGAGGAGTGGGCAGGGGCACCCAAGGGGTTTCCAGCCGCTTTTGCCAGTTTGCTCGTCTTACTGGCTGAAGCCGATGGCCTCCAGATCCTTCCTGACACGGCGTTTTCATTCTCGCCTTTCCCTCCTTCCTCCCTTCCGTCCCCGGGCCCCGTGCCGGGCGGGTTCTGTAGGGCCCTCTTCGACGTCTTGCTCTCCCTCCTCCCCCTCTTGGTCTCCCGCTCTACCCTGGTGCCCCTGGGAATGCATCAATTTTGCTGCTGCTTGGCAGTGGCTTTAGGGGAAGAAGAAGCGATGGAGCAGAGAATCGTGGGCGCCTTGGAATGGGATAGGGGACCGGCAGTACGGGGTGAGGAGGGGAAGGCCATGTGGTGGGAGGCGACGGGGGTTGAAGGCGGGATGAGGGAAGCCCAGACAGCGGAGCGATGTCGGTTGCTGGAGCTACTCGAGGGATTGCTTCTGGCCAGAGAAGAACAAATGGCGAAGGAAGACAAGAGGCAGGGGATAGAAGAAAGGGAAGGGAGAGGGAAGGACGCCGTGGAGGGAGACGGGGAGTTCGTGACCGCGGTGTCTGAGGTCAGAATGGGGAAGGAGGAGACCCAGACTATGGAAACAGACGCTTCCGGAGAATTAAAAGTCACGTCTGGAAGTGCATCGCAAAACCTTCCTCCCAAAGCTCGTTACTACTGCCACACGTGCACGGCGGAGGATTGTCGAACGGCCTTGGAAGAGGAAGTTTCCCATACATGTTGCGGGTATTGCGCCCGTCGCTGCCATGCCGGCCATGACCTCACGTATTTGGGCGACAGTTGCATGCATGCAGGCAAAAATTGTACGTGTCGGGGCAGCAGGATTGCAGCTTCCTCGACTCGTGCTCCTGGGGATGGGGAGGATTCCTCGATCTGCGGGCGTGTCTCGGAAGCTCACAATGCCGGCGCTGACGAAGAGCCCAAACCGCCGAAGGAGAAGGAAAAGGAGCAGGGTGATCTCGAACAGGCGCGGCATTGTGCAGCGCAAGGTCCGAGGGAGCAATGCGTACCAGACAGCGAAGCGGGCGTAGGAAGGGGAAGGGAAAGAATCTCTTCTACAGCGTCGTCCCGACCATGGCGTCATGCCAACGAGAGCCTTGCTGCACTGGTGAGAGCCTTGGTGGCCTTGTCCTCCGTCTCGACCCCCCCCCCCTTTCCCACCTCCCGTCACCACGAAAGCCTTTCCCGTCGCGTGGCTTCTCTTGCCCTGCTTTGGGCCCGGGGTAAGGAAAAGCAAGACGAAAGCCAGGCGCTCGCATCCGCCCTTGGCCGGCTTTGGGTCCATGTGGTCGGCTCCCGCCCTCTTCCCTCTTCGTCCTCGTCTCCTACCACTGTCACCAACCCCTCCCTTTCCGCTCCCATTTTGGGCATACGCAGTGCACGCACAACTCCTTCATTTGCAAATCCTACCCTCCAACTCCTGCAATTGGAGGAGGGCTCCCAAATCTCTGCCGCTACTCGTTCCCCCTCGACCACCGTCCCGCCCTCCTTCTGGCGACCACTTCCCGGCTATTTGGCACCAGGAACACTGCGCATCCACGCTTCAATTCATGAATCGAATGCCACACGCCCGTTACGCCATCATCTTGCAAACGGGATGGGTCGGCACCAGCTCGTGGCCGCCGACTCGCGGGGCAAGATTGTTTATGCGGAAGGGCGGGAAGTCGTCTTAGCCTCGATCATAGGTCTCATGGCGGACCGGGGGGGGGAGGGAGGGAAAGGGGCAGGGCGCGGAGGCCTCTGCATCCTCTCCCGTTCCACCCTCCCGTGGCCGCCGGTGGGACTATCTTTTCATCCTCTGCGGGCCCTCCGAGTCCTAGTGTGGGGCGTCTACGGCTGTCAAGTGTTGCAATTCGACAGGGAAGGGGAAATGTTGCTTCGATTTTCGATTGATCTGAATTTAGGCGATACAATGGAAGCCTCGGGATTGGTAAGAGCGGCGCACTGGCTCTTGCCTCCGGGGAAAGAACAGATGGCAGGAGGACGCTTTGACGACAGGCGTGAGCTGTTTGTTTGTGTGGTGTTGGAGTTCGCCATCAAGGTCTACCGGATCTCCATGCGGGGAGCGTCGGGTGCCTTGACTCACTGCTACCGCACCATGCCGGATGACCGCTTTATTTTTGATGCTGTGGCCTTTGCGCAACCCGAGAACGGGGAAGGAGACAATAGGGAATGGGGGAAAAGGAGGCTGCAGTCGTCATTTGGGATGAATATCTTGGTCATGACGAAGGGGCTGCAATTGCTGCGACTGCCACGTGTTGCCACGGGCGGTGTCTTTCTCGGGACTTTAGATCCTTCCACCGTGACGCCGTTACCACTCCCCGTCCACATTTCCTTGGAGCAGCTCCCTTCGGAGCACATGCTCGTCACGTTGCATTACTCGCAGCGCCTTGGGCTCCTGCTGGTTGGTCGGTGTGATCAGATTCTTGCCTTCCCCGTGGATGAAGGCTTTTCCCGCGTGCAAGAAGGCTTCATACTCCTGAGTCCTTCGCTCATTAAAAACGCACGTGCGAGGGCGAGCGGCGTGCGTCGAGGCCCACACTCATTTAATGCTCGGACACGGCCGATCTCGTCCCTATCCAGCTCAGGTTCAACTTCGTCCTTGCCTTTGCAAGCCTCCCACGGGCCGTACTTGCGGATTTTTGAGGGACCAACGAAAGGAAGTCACCCCTGTGTCTTCGTCGTGACACGAGACGTACTTCAGCAAACAGAAGGGATGGTAGTGCTCTCATATCGGGACGTCGAGGGGCGGGAAATGAAGGAAGGGGTTGGGGAAAGAGGCACGTGGTGTATCCAAGACTTGGAATTAGACTATCGAGACAAGGACTCCTTCGGGGGCAGCGAATCG